AGCTGGATCATAGCAGACGGCACAAACCATTATTATGATGCAACTGCTTCACCAAACTTCTTCAAGGAGACTTCTGTGTTTACAAACATCTAGTATATGTGTCACTAAAGCTGGGTGTCCATTGCACAATGTATTTCTGTCTTTTGGGATGTCTCTCTGGAAAAGGTATGGGGAATAGAGACAATCACAAAGGATACGATGTTCCACTGCTAACTAATAGTAAACTATTGTCAGTTAAGACAGTCGTTAAGACAAAATAAAATAATCCAACAAACCTGCGCCATAGGTGGCCACCTAGGACTATATTTTGTACTTACATATAAGGCTTTTACTGAATCATCTTCAGCAAGTGAATACAATTAAATAACCTTTTATTTGTTCCAAAAAGAGGAAACACCAGGATAGAAAGGCAGAGGAAAAGAACAGAAGGAAATCACCAAGAGAAGATCAACTAGATCACTGATTCCAATCAAGAACTGATTTATATTCCCAAAAGTGTGAACATCAACAACAACTATTCATTTACTGTATACGGTCAATATTAATGTCCATTCTTCAATGCCATGATAGCAGAGGTCAGGAACCTATGGGTAGGGAGCCAGATGTGGCTCTTTAGATAATTGTGTCTCAGATAAATATTATGAGGCATTAATAGTAAGAATGTTTAATGTAATGGATAAACATGGGCGGCACGGTGGCTGAGTGGATAGCACTCTCGCCTCTCAGCAAGAAGGTCCTGGGTTCAAATCCCGGCCGGACCAGGGCCTTTCTGAGTGGAGTTTGCATGTTCTCCCCGTGTCTGCGTAGGTTTCCTCCGGGTACTCCGGTTTCCCCTACCACTAAAAATATGTCCAATAGTTCTGGCATGCGCCTCCTGTACTGGCGACCCCGCTCCCATCTCTGTGTGGAGTGAGAGACAAATGCCCAAAATTAACAATTGTAAACCGCTTTGAGACTCAGATCTGCAGTGAAAAGGCGGTATATAAATAAAAAACTTACTTACTTACTTACATGAGACATAATATTACACTCTGTTTACACACATTTTACACACAAGTATGAGACCTTTTTGGATCTGAAAAAGTTCCCAACCTTTGCACTATTGGGAAACCAGTAGAGTAAACTAGTGGTCACTACAGTGCAGCGCACAAGGACCCATCTCCAGAGGTCGATGCTTGGTCAAGGCTTAAGACCTTTGCTGGAGGATTTTACCTATTGTATCTTTTTGTGGGTGGCGGGCATGGGGGATTGAACCTACAGCCTCAAGTGTTGTATTCAAGTCTCCATATGAACAATCTGGCACTGTGAGTTTTCCTGAACATGTGAGACAAGCGTCTACTTTGACAATGTTCAAGTCAATATCTAATGACCTTATTAGTATTAGTTATTCAATTGTTATATTCCAAAATGTACTTTTAGAGAATATAAAAAGGACACAGCCTGTAGCCTTAACTTGTTGCTAACGTCTGAGCCTCATCTCCCAGCACTAAACAAATATTGCATGTGTGAGTGTGGTGGTTGGACTTCTTGTATTGGAGTGGCTCGGTGCTATTGCTGCAGCTCTGTTCCTTCACGTCGCTGATATAATGATAGCTGCCCAGGGCCTGATTATATGTTTACTGTGGAGCTGGCCGTCTGCCTGTCCCCAGTCCCACAGGAGCAGTTCTGCAACAGGCAAACTCAAGAGCACACAGGAGAGTTCGGACGCAGATAAAGCGGCTTCCATGTCCGACTGCACGGCTCACTCTGCTATTTTTACGCTGATGGAGTAGTAGACAATAACAAAAGGCCCACGGGTGTGATTCATGCACGTTTGAGACAGACCAAATTGTCGCGGAATGCAAAACGTTTATGATCCTTTCCTTTCAAATTCTCACAAATGTTATATCAATGTGTATTTTAGTTATCCCATGAATCACCTCCATATTGTGGTACAGTAGATACATCAGAAATGACAGCAAAATTATACAATATTTATGTATTTTTAAATAAATAATCGCTAAGTGGGGCTCGCAAAAGTACTCCTTTTCTCTGAGTGTAACAAGTTTCCTAATAACTGATGAATGCTCAAATGTTGATCATACAGAACCCACCTGCATGTGAAAGTTTGAACACGGCAGGCCTAAGAAGTTAAGCAGGACAGAGCCTGGAAAGCACTGTGATGGGAGAAATGTGGGAACACCACAGACACTTCATCCACATTGCCAAGTAAGAGTCTGGTGTTTGTGTGTGTGTGTCCGTGCGTGTGAATGGTTGGTGGTGGTCAGGAGGGCTTATGGCATGTACTGGTTGCTTGTCAGTGTGGCTTAGGGCAGCTGTTGATACAGTAGTAGTTCATCACCACTGTCTATGGAGTAAATGAATAATGACATGTGAAGCGTCTTTGAGTGTCAAAAGAAAAAAAAACTATGTAAAATGAATGCATCGTTATCTTTAGCCCACTAAACAATATCATGAAGTCAAAGTTTAAAAAATGCAAATATGCACTTTATATATCCCCGTAGAGAACTTTGTCCTCTGCATTTGACCCATCCTACATTGTCATTAGGGCCTCTGTCAGGAGCAGTGGTCGCCGTAGTACAACGCCCTGGGACCCATTTTTTGGTCCTTTTTTTTAACAGATAAATCATCTGTTACAGTATATTATGACCCTTTTGAGTCAGCCCAGATTGAAAAGATGATTGGTTGGGGCGTTGAATGACTTGACAGAAGTGCATTTTAGTTACATACAGGCTTCTAGGGGCATACCAGGATCGAGGACTGTTTTGGACCTGTTTCTCAGACAAGATAGAAGTTTAGACAGCTCTTCTCTGTCATATCTTCATCCATTCCTTTCTCACCAGATGTTTGACTAGTGCATAAATCCCACACTTTCTCCCTTCCATGTGAAATCTAAATATATCACTTTCCCGTCGTATACACGTCCATTTAAACAGTACCATGTTTGGCCCCTGGCTTGCTGCGATGAAGTGTTTTTAATGATCTGAGACAGAATTTGCAGACAACCCCTCCGCGTTGCCTAGCGATACCTATCAATCTTACCCCAACGCTAAAACACAAGTGTCCCCTAAGGCTGCGGAGGTCGTGTCTGCTCACCTTATTACCAGCACTCCGTTCACACCTCATTCTCTGCTCCAAAACATGGCTGCTGTCCCAACACTGACTCCAAAGTCAGTGGTATAAATATATGTCGTATGTATGTTTTATAGTGCATATGACAGGATATGAATATTAATACACATTATTTATTGGGATGATACATTTTGATATATAAGTCATAGTTTATTTTATAATCTGCAATTTTTGTCATGGAGTGTATTTTGTTATTTTTGAGTTTTTTTTACTTCAGTGCTCTGGGGTTTTTAGTTCAGTTTTACTTCCTGTTATGTCCCCCTGTTTGAACGTCTTCCCCGCCCTAATGTGTTACACCTGTGTCTCTCTCTGTCCATTTGTTAGTGGTCCATTGTATTGTGTTTGATTCACTTTTGTCTGTTTTCCTGGTTCCTGTATCCGTTTGAATTGTTTTGTTTGTTTTTGCCCTGGACTTTTATTTTTTTCCGTCATTAAATCATATTATTTTGGCATTCCTCCAATTTCGTACTTACCTATAAGGCGATTGTTACTGTAAATTTTGAAAATGTTACCAATGTTACCAATCATTTATCATTGTAAGTAAGTAATTAAGTAAATAAGTAAGCAATCTTTATTTATACAGCGCATTTTTACAGACCAAAGTCACCCAAAGCTCTTTACACTAAGTTCAGATATTGTTTAATTTATTGTGTAATGGTGATGACGGAAACGAGACGCCGAACACACAATGAATCAAATAGATTCATACCTAGGGGAAACCGGAACACCTGGAGGACACCTAGGCATACACTGGGAGAACATGCAAACTCCACTCAGAAAGGCCCTGATACAAGTCCACTGATATCACAACAACAAACATTTTGTTTTTTATGCATTTGGGCTAAAAAGCCTGTTCAATGCTGCCAAATTATCCACGTATACCATATTTTAAAAATACTGTAATACAACATAGTCTGAGGAGTTGTCATAACAAGTTTTATAAAGAGTCATTATTGCAGAAGGGGCGGGGTGGGGGGTGTTATCGACTAGATTTGTACCAGAAGTAGGTCGAAAAGTGTTCTGAGAGGGGAAACAGACTGGATACTGTGGTTACAGCGGACAGAGGCCTGACTTTTGTTGGGTCGATCATATTTCTAGAGTGTGTGCTGGTCTAGCAAAGGTGAAAAGTTGATGTGCAGAGCATGTATATTTGTGGATGTTTGCATGTAAACTGTGCGAGGTTTCTAGTTTCCCAATTTCCTGATTGAGGACAAATAAATATCTTGTGTAAATAGACGAGAATGCAGTTGTTTGGAGTCAGCTTTGGATGGACTGTGTCAGCACTGAGTGCATGCAGATTTTAATATTTTTACAGCTATTATCGAAAAACAAGTTTGGGGTAATCTATCACATGTTGTATACTGGATGGGAAGCTGAATAAATATTTTGTGGAAACATTGTAGCACTCACTAAGCGCTGTGTTTTCTGTGGGAATTATAATTGTCGCTTCCACAGTTTTAAAGTATAAGAAGCTGTTTTGTGCTTGTCTACTAATATTATAAGACAATTTAGTGGAATTGTGCAGGTGATAGATTTTCTTTTTAGATTTAAAAGTATCAGTTTAATTTGTGATGATAATATTTTTGTCAATGACAATCAGAAGTAAAATATAGCGCTGTTGCCATTGCTTAAAATATTGTGAATTTGTGTATACAAAATAAGAAAGATCTGAGGCAATTGGTGTTTATTTATTTACAATCTACCTGCAAAATGTAGTTGGACTGACTCAGATCCTATGCTATCTTTTCACCCGACGCCACTTAAACCCCCATTAATCATCACCTAGTTTTTCATTTGTTTTGCTTTTGTCTCCGGAGGTTGAGATTTTGAAGTTAGCAATGATTCAAAACTTTGCATTTTAACATGCTATGGTCATTTTCTATGCCTTCTCCTGGACCATCGAGGGCAGCAGGCTGGAGAAGACCATGATGAAGGCGGGTTAGGGTTAGGGAGTGGCTGTGGAGGATGCAGAGCTGCTCGCACAAGCTCTGGACAAAACTGGTTCAAATTGTCAGCAGAACATACATCCCCTCCCATTTGCAGGAGCCCTAAGTAAGAACTTTGTAACATTTAACAGGGTTAAGGATAAACAGTACATTCATTTCCTGCAGTGACAAGCCCATCATCCTGAATGCATAGATTATACACGTTTGTCCCAAAAAGATAAATGAAAATAGATCAGACCACACCACGCTGTCCTCACCTGATTAGAACAGATGCTATCTTTTGCATACTTGAAAAAAAAAAAAGCTGATCTAAAGATGTTACGGAGGCCAGACTAGTGATAGAACTGCTTTTCAGAGCAATGAACGTGTCTGATGGATTTTATTTTGGTTTGAAAGTGAGGTTCCCTGACAATAACCTGGATGAACAATATATGTTTTAAGCATAGACTGTATATCTCCGCCGTTCTAACTAATGGGCCAAAAATTGGGCTCTCATGGAGTGATTCAAAATGGCCGCGGGGGCTGGAAAATGTGAAAAAACGCATCTGCGCATGCGCCAGCCGGCAAGAACTTCACAAATTCACAGCGAGTAAATTAGACTGGTTAAAAAAATCCACCCCCCTCAGCATTGACACACATGTGGAACGGAGCTTTGGGCCAAGAGCCAACTTTTGGTCCATCCTGTAAAGGTGTTTTTGAGAGCTCTGCCAATGCTATATGTTAGCATTGGCTAATTCTTATTCCGGGTCCACCCCCATCGGCCCGGGTGGGTATTGCAAGCATGTCAGCGCACGTCATTTTGGCCACTTTTGAGCCGGGACCCGCCCCCACTGGTTTTAACCCAAAAACCCCTTAATGAAATGGGTGGGGACAGGTGGTAGGTGAAACAGACGTTTGGAGTATGGAAGTTACAAGGAAAGATTTATGGAGCATATGGAAGCACATTTTTTTGTGATATACCCCACCGTGTGTTTGTCCAAACACAGGATCCTACGCTGTCTCTCAGAGCAGCTCCGTGGCAGCCGTCCAGCCTCGCCTGGGTGCTGTCTGGGTAATGGCTGCTATCAGAGACCGCCCCTTGTATGCTCTCGATATAAACCAGAGGACAGGACTTATCTGCTCTGCTGAAAGTCGCCATTGACACCAGGCACTTTGGAGGAAGTCACACTCACTGGAGCATCCATCCCATCTGTCCTGTCCTCTCATCTGCAGCAGGGGAGGGGCTTCCTGCAACCTCCTGCAGTGGCCGGATTCAGATAAGGTTAAAGAACATACACCAATACATTTGTTTATGACATGCCATACCACAAGTCCACACTTTTGGCCCTAACCTCAGGGGTCGATGTTGTGTCGTACCGCTCCACGCTACGTCACTCAAGCCACTGCAATTTATTGTTTGGTTCATGCATACTCTTCACATTCATTGCATGTTGCCTACTATACAGAGGGGATCACTTCCCTGTTTGCTAAGTCTTCTTTGACAAACTACCAGACTAAATATTTGACATTAATTCCCACCATTATCAAGTCAATCCCTTCAAAATTGGATTAGCCTCAAGTGTCAACTTGACAATGTGCAAATATTAGCTTAGCGACCTCCTTCGGCAAAAATGTATCCGTCTTAATTCTCTTTTGTCCGTGTGAAATCTTACCTACGGTGTCCACTTGAGAATAACAATGCCCCAGTGCCTTCCATCTGGCCCTTTTTTGTGCTAGCATGCTAATTCTTCCTCCTCCACCCTCTTCACCAACGGCAACGTCCGCAGAAAAGTCACTCACAAACCTGAGCACAATGAGGCCGTGGCCTGAACTTGCGAGCTGATGTTTTTAATTTGATTGCTGACAAGTGAGGGGGGAAAGGTCTGTTAGCTTAGCGGGCTAGCCAAGAAACGGCCAGAAACGCATTGTAAACGTTGCAGCACTCGACTGAGGAGGGGGACAATGGAACAGCAGACCCACGCTAACCAAAGTGCCAGCAGCAGGTGTCTTTCATTCAGAGCTGGGCAGGTTCATAAAGTCCCTGGAAAGTCAATAAACAAGGGCTTGTTCACACACTGGCTAATTGTGCTCTCCAGAAACAAAATGGCCGCTCAGATGGATAAAGTAAGCAGGGGGAAGTTGAGGGTTTCTGTTCGTGACAGTGATGGGGGCCGGGACGTGAAGTTTGGGGCCACTTCAGTTGGTCCCTAAGGGTTTAGAGTAAGCATGCGGCAGGCAGTGTTGGGGAGTTTACTTTGCGTGTTTAGTCACAGAATGCTAAATGTCTGCATTAAAATGTATGTGTAATGTATCCTGTTTCTTCGCCCAATCAGAAAACTGAATTTTTAAATAGCCAAATGTTGGTCCCCGTTGGAAACATGTCAGAATTGGAGCACACATCACAGATAAATAAAATAGAATAATTAGGGAATAATATGATATAAGAAAATAATAAATAATGTTAATAAAACAATAATAATATTAATTCTCATAAAATATTCAACTCAGTCTTGGTAGCACGGCCGAAACTAACATTGTCCACAATATTACTCTATGATCACAATCAGGTTGGGGTTATGTTTAGTATTCTGGAAAAGATCTGAGCTATTTATATGAATGTGATTATGACTAATGTACTTGATTGTCAGACCTAATTGTATTGTTTATTTGGTTGGAACAGGGCATGTTACTTGTCCCACTGTCACACTCACAAACACACACTCATTCACTGAACTATCGCACATATTTTTAGTAATATGGGCAACTGGAGCACCAGGGGTAAACCTATGCAGACACGGAGAGAACATGCAAATTCCACACAGAAATGCCCTGTCTGGAGGCAGAATCAAACCCAGGACTTTATCTGTGAACCACAAGTGCTAAACAATGTGCCACATCCTACCATCTGGTTTATATTGTCTACAAGATTAATATGAAACTTTTGAAAATATTCCTCATTTTGTATTCAGAGCAAATCCAAAATATGTGTCTGGTCTTTTCAATGCGTCAAAAACTATTGTTGTCAATTGTTGTCAATGCGTCAAAAACTATTGTTGTCAATTGTTGTCAATGCGTCAAAAACTATTGTTGTACTACTAACAATTAAAATGAAGCCAAAATAAAAAGATGCATTTGTGACAGAAAAGTTGTATCCAATTGATTTATTCATGTGATTTGTAGTCATGTTGTTTGTACCAAAGCTTTCTGTGTGTTCTCCCTTTTACCTTGTTGAGTATGTCAAAAAAATTCCTCCATCAATGAAATTATCTATCCAATGTATTGTACAAATTAAAATCTGACGTTTTAGAGTTTATCTGGAGTAATGTCATTTTCCCAATTTATCAAACAAGTAAAGTGTGTGAGATGTTTGGGCGCTCAGTGAGCCTTCAAGGAATTCAAATGTTGTCAATTCATCCACGATATAAGAAGCTTCCAAGCTCTTTACAGAATTATTTGAGCTTTTCCACATTTTCTTTTTCATAAGTAACACATGTTCCAACAGAAAGAGTCTTGTAAAACTAAATGGTTGTGAACAAAACAAACCACAACATGCTGTCTTCATCTTTTTAGAAAACATGCATACGAGTATGAAAGAGCCTTGTGAGTCACTTTATAACTCTTTGGGCAGAGAACTGAGAGCTGAGAAAGGAGGGTCCTCTCTTGTTCATGTTTCTATCTAAAAATCTGATCATGTGAAGGAGGCAAAAATACATGCATGTGAAAGGTAATGATCGAACCACACTGTTTTGAGTGCGAGGGACTAGTTAGATGTTATTTTATTACACAGTTAAATATTTTTGACAGTTAGCTACAAAGGTAATCTACTTTCCAAATGATCATCACTGTGGCATTCAGTAAATAGAAATACTTTTGGCTATCCTAATTGACTGATTTCCATAATATGCTTTGAAAGATTAATTAATTTGCATAAAGCGGTGTCCTCTTTAACAAACTGAATGCATATAACTGTTGCACAATACATTTACCAGATTCTAAGACCAGCGCTTTGACCAGAGGCTGTTTCACTCTCTTCAACCTCACCTTGTAATCCGCCTGCTACTGCAGTGATCTTAGTCCACTGAGCTTCCTGTCACTGATGCCACACTGTACATGCTGTTACCATTGTGTTTACCACCTCCCCCAGGCCGCTGTCTGTCCTACTGCTCCGGATTCAACCAAAGCCCCGTAACCAGCTCCCGATGTGAGGGGCGGACACAGTAAGCTCCGGCAAAGAACAGGAACCAGACCTGGATGGAACAACTCCTCCAGCACAAGCGTACGTGGGATGCGTACGTGAGGTCGCTGAGGTTATACACTGCGAAAGGGTCAAATGCATATGATATATAAAACACCTATTATACCGGTAATACTGATGTCTGTCCAACCGCACTGTTTGGTTAAAACAGCCAATTTATAAATGGTTTTGTTTGCTATATCAGTCATCATTCCAAATTATATATATATATAATGTTAAAATATTGGTCAGAATGATCAATCTACTTGGCCATCACCAATCATTCACCTACACACCAGACTCATACTTGGTAATGTCGGTGAAGAGTCTTGCCTAAGGACACAACATAAGTCTGGCACTTTTGTGGCACCTGGTGTCACCAGGCTGCTTAGCTTCTTAAGCCTAGCGTACATCGACAGAGAAACTGGGGACAACTAGTTGCAAGGCGGCTTTTGGCAACTGAGAGGAGATGATGGAGATGATCAGTTGGCGAAATCGGTCGATGTGCGCGCTCTTACAACTGGAGATTGTTGTATTTATAAATACGTGACATTCTAAAACCATGTGTTTTATGACCTAGCTAACCTCTAAGTGGGAGGCCAGTCCTTCTTATTTTATTTTAGGTGTCTTCTTGTGCCAGCAACTGGACAACAGATTCTTCTGTTTGGATTTCACCCCCCTAGTCTTGGCCTGCTGACTTCTGCACTTTTCAACCTCACTCCATCAGGAGTCTGGCAGACGGAGGAAAAGGCTGGACCCTAGACCGGAAGCTGGCTGATAGGACACTCCCCTCCTTCCTGTTCTTTATATATGCTCTGGCTTGGGGAGAAACAGAAGGATCAGCCGAGGGCCAGGAGAGGGACATATTAGTTTTAGGAGCACTCTTTTGTTGATTTCTGTATCTGATTGTAAAGATAATTAAATGCAGATGTTAACCTTTGAGAATCTTTTTGTCTGATTTCTGTATCAAATTGTGGACACGTCAGCCAAAGGGAATTATTGGCTTCATTTGGTGACCCGAGACGTGATTTGATACAGAAAGAAGACGCAAGATGAGCTCAGATATAGACTGGGTCCGTCGGCCGGGAGAATTCTCTCTTCTCTTCTCTCTTCTCTTCGAAAGAGGTAAGCGGATCGTTACTTTTGAAAATCTGCACATTGTTTTAAATGGAAGAGAGAGAGAATTCGGCTCGGCGGACTGCAGCGTGGCCAGACGACCGCCGTGACGGGCGATTCTATCGGACGCGATAGAACAATAGTCAGGTTTAGACGTTTTTGGCCTTGGAGGAAGCATGGGTCCCTCCAAAAAAAACAGAACATAGATGATGGATCAGAGCCACAGAGTTTATAAGTGCAGAAGAGGCACACCGTTTAGAGTGCAAAAGAAGCACACCGTTTTAAAGTGCAAAAGAGGCACAAGTGTTTAGAGAAATAGGATTAGAAAATAGGGACAGTTAGGGTCAGAAGTGATAGGATAATAAAAACTCCATATCCCCCGGGGGGCGGGAAAAAAAAAAAAGGGTACAATTAATTTAAACAGGAAAAAAGCCAAGTATTTAAAATGTGGATTCTGATAATAATGATCTGATTAATGAGAAAAAAGGGAGCCACTTGGCTGTAACTATGAGTTTTCATGTGAAGAAATGACAAAAGATCAGTCTGGGAGTTTTTCTCTTGTATTGTGATGTAATGTTTCAATAGTTACAGAGGTATTACGAAAAAAAAAAGATCCGTCTGTACCTAGTGATGCATTGGTCATGTAAGCAAATTGTAATGTTTTCCATTACTGACGTATTTAAGGATAAAATGTAAAGTGTCGTTTGACGTGAGAAAAACTTTTACCACTGATTAAGACCATATCACGATAAAAACGAGGAAAATGTAGCAAAGAAGGGGTGTATTTCAATCATCCATGTGTTCCTTTGTTCGAGAAGCCCCTCCCCTCCCTCGTTCTGTCTTCTCTCTCTCTCTCTCTCTCTCTCTGTCTTTCTCTCTCTCGTGAAGAAAGAATTTTTCTTGTAGAAAATTACATTTATACACTCGATAATGTTACTGACATGGAGTCATAGGATCACAGAACTTTGAGTTAGATTATAAAGAGGCATTATTTTATTTTTTATTTTTTATCTGGACAAGTTTTTTTCCCTACATTTTGGTGATATAAAAGTTAGAATGATCTTAGAGAGCATTATGCTTTTGGAAAAATAGGGCTCAGGAGAGCAGTTGAATGCAGAATTGGTTTTCAGAATTTAATGTTTAAAATGTTAATATTAATTATTTCATAGGTTTATTTTGAATTGTAATTAATCATTGGTTTCGTATGGTAATTAATACACTTGTTTGTGCTTCTTGTTTGTCTGTTTTTTCCGAGAAAACTTCTGTCTGTTTCATTTGGCCAAAAATCGTCTCTGCCACAAACCACAATCGGGCGCCATCAGCACGGACCATCTGCGTCTCCCCCAGACCCACAGGGGGCACCAAAGACAGCAGCATCGGCTGCAGCAGCTAACAGGAACTCTCGAAGAAGACCTCTCCGGTCTCCATTTCATGGAGAAAAACCAGACTTTTGCACAAACCGAGTGGAGTTATGTGCACG